CCGGGGATCAAAACATGGGGTATTTTTTGAGGTCTCAGACAGGAGGGAGTCAGTTAACAACAAAGCTAGATATAACATAGCATAAATCTTTGAACTTGATTATTAGAAGGACATGGTTCCTCTCTCCCCATTAGCTTGAAAATACATTCACTTTGTTCTGGTCAGCTGATAATTGACACTTTGAATGGGCTAGTAGAGTACATTCCATATCTGTTTCCATTCATTGCAGGACTGAAAGACCTCCTCCTAGCAGGCTGTTCCTGGTCTGCAGTCTCTGCCCTCAGCACCTCCAGCTGCCCCCTTCTCAGGACCCTTGATCTTCGGTGGGCAGTGGGAATTAAGGACCCTCAAATTCGGGACTTGCTGACTCCATCAGCTGATAAACCAGGTACCCTCTGGCCCTTACTTCTCTATGCTTGTCTTGGGGTAGCTTGGGCTTTCCACAGATCTCATCCTCAAAAGCTAAGGTAATCTCAGAATTGAAGCTGTGGTCAGAGTGCAAATTGAGAACAGAATGATGGACCATGAATAAATACTGTTTACAAGCAGATAATTAAAACTAAAGAAGTAAGTCCATTCTCTGGGTCATTGGAGTTTAGGACTTGGAGAAGACAAGCCTGAGGAATTCTCACAGAGCTTCATGGTTGAAATGGAATGTCAAAAGCTGTTGCCAGGATAGTCTAGAAAAGCATGGAGCTGTGGGTAGGGGAGCAGAGGAGCATTCCATCCATACCCATGTATGTGAGGCATAATCTGGCTCTGGGAAGAAAGAAAACTTGTTTTGTTTCCTAGAAACTGCCCCCACATGGTGCTTACTCCCTAAAGGCAGGGTTGGGCCTGGGCAGTTCTGCTTAGCTCCATCAAAGGGGCTTGGCCAGCAAGTAGCTGATGTTGCCTGGAACTTTGGAGCTGTATTAGAGAATTTTAAAGAGTTTTGATCTAGGCTTTTTTCTTGCCTATGCAGGTCAGGACAATCGCAGCAAGCTCCGGAACATGACTGACTTCCGGCTGGCAGGCCTTGACATCACGGATGCCACACTTCGCCTCATCATTCGCCACATGCCCCTCCTGTCTCGACTCGACCTCAGTCACTGCAGCCACCTTACAGATCAGTCCTCCAATCTACTCACCGCTGTTGGGTCTTCCACTCGTTACTCTCTCACAGAACTCAATATGGCAGGTATGCTGCTGCTGTTTTCCACGCTAAAGGTTACCCCTGCCTTCTGGAGGTCCCAGGCCTTCCTAGAACTTGACCAGTAAACCAGTGATTTGGGGTCTGTTGATTGAACCATTTCCACTCATTTGAACTACTGGCTGAGAAATAGAGTAAATAAGCCGGGTGCCCTCATGCATGGCCACTATCCAGTTGCAGTTTGGTCAGCTTTTGTGCTTAATGTCCATAGTGCTGGGAGTGAGACAGCAAGAGGGCAGTGTTGATGGTCTAGTCTCTGGGCCAGGTAGTCATGGGACTAAGTGTTTTTGTTTAGCATTTTGGGGAAAGATGGCTAGGGATACTGAATGGTAGAAGAGGGCATCTGTGGCAATGTGTTTGTGACCTGACCTCATGGCCACTTTGCCTACAGGTTGCAATAAACTGACAGACCAGACCCTGATCTACCTACGGCGCATTGCCAATGTCACCCTGATTGACCTTCGAGGATGCAAGCAGATCACTCGAAAAGCCTGTGAGCACTTCATCTCAGACTTGTCCATCAATAGCCTCTACTGCCTGTCTGATGAGAAGCTGATACAGAAGATTAGCTAAGACATGCCCAGCCTGAACTGAACAGGAAATGGATCTTCCCCAGCCTCCCCACTGAGGAGAGCCTCTCCCTGACCCTGCACGGGCTCTGAGGCCAGCGTCACACTCCCTCTCTGCTCTTCTGACCCTGAGCCCTTCTCCCACAGGTGGGATACAGAGGATGGACGACACCAGGCTTACCTGCCTGCTCCTCTGCCTCCCAAGGAAAAGGGACTAGCAGTTGATGTGAGAGGAAGGAAAGCACAGGCTGTGCTGTTGTGGTGCCTGCTCACTTGCTCACCTGCCAGGAGGCTCGGCATCTGGGGGATTCATGCAGCCTTCACCTGCAACACGCCCTGGACCCCTCTTCCCCACCTGTGGCCCCAACAGTGCCTGGTTCAGAGCAGACTCCAGGAAAGAAAGCAGTCCTGCCTCCATGGCCAGGTTCTCCTCATGTCCAGTGCGTGTCTCTCCTCTGTCACACTCTCCCAGCTTCTGCAGGAGGGGCCAGCAGCCCCAGGAATGCCAGGCCCAGCAGATCCCACTGGTGCTGTTGATGTCCGAAGCCTCACACCCATCTGTGCTCGCCCTTCTTTCCTTTCCCTGAGCTTGATGCTGCCCAGCATTCGTGCTCATTCATGTAATACAGTGTACCCCCTTCCATCCAGCTCCCGACTTTCCCACCAGTCTTCTCTGAGGTCCTTGTTGCACTTAATTGGGGTTGAAGCTCTTCAAAGGAGCTAGAACTGAACTCCAGGGACACCCCCATTTCATTGCTACCCAGGCAGATTCTGAGACAGGCACCATCTCCTCCCCCTCTCACCTCCCACTGACTGCCCTTTTCCACGTGTCCTCCTTCCTGCCTGAATAGGGCTTTCCCAGGATGCGTGTCCTCAGAGGGAGCAGCCTTTCTCCCCTGCCAGGTGAAGGGGAACAGAGGACTGGCCAAATCCCCACCTGCCTCCAGGCCAGGCTTTTCCAGGCCTCTACTTTAGTTTGGCCCCCGAGAGCCCCAGGCCTGTGCATTGCCCCAGCGGCTCACTGACCTGGTGCCTTTCAATGGTCAAGGGTTCCTTCTTGGAAGCCAGTCTCCTGCCCTCTGCCTATAGCCGTGGAAGGGGATGTGCATGTGCCTCTGTGTGTGTGGCTGAGTATGGTGTGTGTGTGTTTGAGTGCGTGCGTGTGTGTGTGTGTGTGTGTGTGTGTAGGAAAGGAGGGGAGTGTGTGTCTCCCACTCCACCACCCTTTGTCAAGCCCCATCAGCTGCCCCCTTTTACTTTGCATTGAACGGCCTGTCCAAAGATCCTCTCTCTAGGGCAGCAGAGAGCTTTTTGCACTTTAAAAAAAAAAAAAAAAGGAAAGAAAGGTCGGAATTTCTTCTGGGTCAATATTTAAGTGTGTGAGGAGATATTCAATAGCAGCCTGTGGCAAGAGCTTCTAAGTGATAGATGCAAATTTGCACTCTGCTCCCCATCTATAAGGAGACTGATAGCACAACCTTGCCCTGCCTTCTTGTTCTCCAGCCTCATCCCCACCTCATCCCTTTCCTGTAGCCCAGTCTCAGGCTTTCCTCCTCTTAAATTCACAGTGGGGAGGGGACAGAGCCAGGCACCAGGGCTCTGAAGTATGAGCCACCCCAAGGAGAGACGTCAACTGTACCCTTGCCACTGTCGAAGCAATAAGAGGCAGAGGGCCCCCCTCTTTGCCCCTTAGCCCAGCTTTGACCCTGGCATTAACTGACCTTCTTAGAGAAAAATGGGTCCTGTAAGAGGTGGCATTGTATCTGTTTCTTCCAATCTGCTGATTCTTTTGACTGCACCTTAAAAACAGCAGTCTGCTCCCATGACCCTCTGTCCCTTCATTGGTCTCTAAGCCCCAGCAGTCTGGGGCTGAAATGTTGAGGAAATGCCAGTGACTTATTCCAGAGTGCCTCAGTTAGGGGAACTTAGCTGTAAAGAACCCTGGGTATTGAGCAAAAACCTTATTAATATTATTGTTAATGACCTATAATTGGAAGCTTCCTGCCTGTTTTTTGTTTGGGGTTTTTTTGTTGCTCCTGTGGAAAATACTTAAAAAGATTAAGTTCTGTTTCATTGTCTTTTTATAAAAGGGGAGGTGGAGAGACCCCTTCAAGAGCAGGGATTGTGCCGGGCGAGTGCCTCTAATTTTGGGACATTTCATCTACAGAAATTTCCAAGCTGATGGTTTGTTTGGGGTTTTAGTTTTTGTTTGATTTTTGGTTTGGAAAAACAAGCATTTTTACCGTGCACATAAATTGGTCAGCAGAAAAGGGAGCCCAAGATGGCAGCAGATGGACCGATGCCCTTGTTGGGTTTTACTTTTTGTTGAGACTGAGGGGAAAATGGTTTTTAAGAGGTGAGGGTTGGTCCACATGGAGGAGAGAACAGAGGAACAGAGGAATCCAGAAGTTCCATCACCTTCCTGCATCTGCTCTTAGCTACAACCTTGCCAGGAGAGCCTGCCCTCAGATTGCAGGACCAGACCTCTGCCTCCATGAGCATTCCATCCATACCCATGTATGTGAGGCATAATCTGGCTCTGGGAAGAAAGAAAACTTGTTTTGTTTCCTAGAAACTGCCCCCACATGGTGCTTACTCCCTAAAGGCAGGGTTGGGCCTGGGCAGTTCTGCTTAGCTCCATCAAAGGGGCTTGGCCAGCAAGTAGCTGATGTTGTTTTTTTTTTTTTTCCTTCTTTGTAGAGCTAGTGGGCCCTTGGTTTCCAGGCTAGGGCATCTAAGATTTTCATTATGTGCTATCTCCCCATCCCCTGTCAGCCAGACTCTGTACAGGGCTTGGAGGCAGAAACTAAAGTACTAAATGAAAGCCTGCGTGGTGCAGTGTAGTTTGTCGTCTGTGGATTTATAGATTGCAGTGGAAAGGTAGGCTTTCCCTTTCAATTCTGGACTGGGCTGGCTGGAAAATGTCAAGCTAGCAGTGAAGCAGAAACCCAAGGCTGAGGGAAGGCTCTGGACCTGATAAGGAGCCTCTTTGGGCCTGAAGCAGTAATGAGCTTAAAGTGGTGCGTATTGTGGAGGTGTTGAGGTACAGAGTAGCACCTTGCATCTTGGGTAGCCATTTGTTACTCAAGGGAGAAAATGGAGCAAGCCAAGTACCTTCTGATAGTATGAAGTCAAGAAATTTGAAGTTTCCCTTATATACCTTTTAGTAAGAACTATATTGTTTTAATGTAAATGAAGGATTATGTATATCATGACACTAACACCTGTGCTGGGTTCTCAACCCCTTCAGAAGAAGTCAGAGCAAACTGTTAAGTTATATAATATATAGGTTTGTAAAGTGTCTAGTTGCTGTAGAACAAAGTTTTTGTCAATACTGAGGCACAAGGGCTGGGGATTTAGCTCGGTGGTTGCACCACCTGCCTCGAAAGCACAAGGACCCGAGTTCAATCCCCGGTACCAAAAAACAAAAACAAAAAAAATACTGAGGCACAAAATGCCAGGGTGTGATCCTTGTTACTCCTGTAGAAGAATATAGGGAAGTGACCCTCAAAGTATTCTGCTTTTTCTAAAAGCCTCCAGCAGTCTGTGACGGGAGCTCCACTGACTGAGTAATCAAGTTAATGACAGCTAGTTCTCCTCCCTTCTGTCACAGGTGCTGCGACAAGAGACTTTGGACAAAAATTGACTTGAGTAGGTGTAAGGCCATTGTACCCCAAGCTCTCAGTGGCATCATCAAGAGGCAACCAGTTAGCCTCGACCTCAGTTGGACCAACATCTCCAAGAAGCAGCTGACATGGCTGGTCAATAGGCTGCCAGGTAAGTGAGCTATGCTGTTGGTAGTGCTTCTTAGAATTCCTTTAGGACATTTTGGTCAGCAGTCTCAAGCCATTGTTGCCTTTCTGCTTAACAAGAGGTTTCCCTGGGGCTATTTAACTGCTGGTCTCAAAGACATTACTGGACCAATGACTGCAATGCATAGTAAAGAACAGGATTAGGTGCTGCTATCAGCCCTGCAGGTCTCAGCACAGCCACTGAAGGAGAAACTACAGTCATGTGTGCCTTGAACAGCCCCTTGTAAACTATTGGGTATTTTTTTTTTTTTTTTTTGGCACCGGGGATCAAAACATGGGGTATTTTTTGAGGTCTCAGACAGGAGGGAGTCAGTTAACAA